TCAGACGCTGGCCAAGTCCGCCAAGGCCCTCCCCGTTATGCTGTGGAGCACCTTGTACATGCGCAAGATCTTCAAAGTGACGGAGTACCTGCACGCCGCCACCATCACCATCGGCTGCTCCGTGTTCGTGCTGACGGGTCATGTGCGCAGCCGGGTGGCGGATGCGGGGGGGGCGCTGCAGGCTATGAGCGGGGTGGGGCTGGGCATGAGTGGCGACGCGGCGCTGGTGGTGGTGGGCGGCGGGTTGATGGTGCTGTATCTGTTTGTGGACGGTCTGACGTCCACCTGGCAGGACTCCATGTTCCGGGGGTACCCCGTTAATGTGTGCGACCAGGTGGGTGGGGGGTAGTGGGGGGGTGGGGTTGGGGGGGTGGTAGTGAGGGCGTGGGGGGTTGGGGGATTGGTAGTGGGAGGGAATGGGTGAGAAAGTGAGAGGAGGAGGGGGAGGAGGGCAGGTATGTGCATGTGCGGAGAGGGGGAGGGGTGGAGTGGGAGGCGTGTGGGGGATGTGAGCACATCTCGCTCGTGTACGCGGTTGCACCTCTTGCGTCTACGCGTCTCGCTCGTCATAAGGTCCGCATGCCAACCCGCCACCCTTTTCCCCCCCGGGCCAAAACCGCTTTCAAACCTCAGTTTATCTTTCCCACTCCCCAACCCCCGCGTCCAGCTATTTCAGCCAACTCTTCTTCCCCTTTTCCAAATACCCTCTCCCCCTCCTCACGCCCCCTCCTCACGCCCCCGCCCAGGTCCTGTACACCACCGCCTTCTCCATGATGCTCTCCCTGGTGGGCTGCATCGCCACCCACCAGCTGCTGCCCGCCCTGGCCTTCCTGCAGCGCAACCCGGAGGCGGCCCTGTGGATCCTCGGGCTGTCGGCGGCCTCGGCGGTGGTGCAGCTGGTCATATCCTGGACCATCAAGCGGTACGGCGCGGTGGTGTTCGCCACCATCATGACCACCCGGCAGTTCTTCTCCATCTTGCTGTCATGCATGGTCTTCATGACGCCACTCACCATTGGCCAGTGGTGGGTTGACTTGGAGGGGGGTGGGTGGGGCGGACTTTGGGAGCTCTTGAGGGGAAGAGGGTGAAATGAAACACGGAGGGATGAAGGTGGAGGGGAGGTATGCGGGTATGCGAGGTATGCGGGTTGGTGGGGTGAAGGAGGAGGGTGTGGTAGGTATGTAGAGAGGGGAAAATGCACGGGGGAGGTCTGGGGGGCCGGGGAGGGGGAGGGGGCTTGAGATTCAGTTTGCGGTGTAGGGAGGTTGTATGTCGGGGTACACGGTGCAGTGCAGGTTCAGGTTCAGTTCGGATGGAATCGGTTCTATCTGGGTACCTGCCAATGCCCCCCCCCCCGGAGCCCACACGGGTAACTGGTGACTGCTGTGTCCCGCTGGCCGTTTGGGGCCGTTTTAATGATATGTCCTGTCGTACTACTTGTCGACCCGCTTGCCTACCTGCACTTCTCCGTTTATGTGTGTATGTATGTATGCATTTCCTGCCCGTACAGGGCGGGTACGCTGCTTGTGTTCGGTGCCATCTACTACAAGGCGGCTCAGAAGTGTGCGGAGCATCAGCACCTCCACGTCACCACCAAGGAGGAGGACGACCCACCGAGGTGGGGGCGGGTGGGGGATGGAGGGGTGAGGCAGGGAGTGGGGGGTGAGGCAGGGAGTGGGGGGTGAGGCAGGGAGTGGGAAAGGAGAGTGCAGGTGAGGGCGGGGAAAGGAGCCTGACCTGTCGGGCCGGGGAGCAGAAGGGGGGGGACGAGGAGGGGGCTATCGCAATCATGGGGGCAGATTGGGAACAGGGGCAGTGTCCTTTATTAAAACACACACGCCATGTTTGGTACTTCCCTGCAGCCCCCCGGGGGGTGATGGTCCGGAGACGACGCCGCTCAAGATCCCGCTGCTTGCGGAGGGTATTGCGGCACGGTACAACCCGGACGAGCGACGGCATGCGAGCGAGCAGCAGGTCTGAGATCTGACCTCAGGGGTCAGACCTGGAGTCCGACCCCTATTCGGCTGCTAGTGCTGCAGCCGGCGCTGGGCCAGCACCCTGCAGCTGGCATTAGCGTTAGCGATAACAGATGCTGGAGGAGGAGGAGGAGCAGCAGCGCTAGAAGCTTGTGTCTGGATTAGCCCCCCAGGTTGCCTGAGGGGTGGTAATGGGCTTCAACGTCCCCCTTTCTCAACGTCCTCTGGATCGGATGATGTGATGATACGGAGCCAAACCTGATTTGATTGACCAGCTCAGACCAGCTCAGATCTGGCTCGCTCAGGTCAGGAATGTGGCTCGTGTGGCCTCTGAGCATCCCGTCGTTCCGTCTGGGTCACAAAGGCACGAGAACAGTTGATGACGGGACATTTCTATGTGGGTCACATGTGGGGCTGCCTGTAGCAGGCTGTAGCAACATCTGATGGCAAAGTGTTTTTTCAGTACGGCAGTCGTGTTTCATGTCGTACGACTACACGACCGCCAGATTGCATCGCCGCTATGCTGCTTTGTGTGCTGTTGGCTCCACACGGCCCGGGTCGGTTGAGTGACTCTTATCTTTGCCAAGGTCTATCACGTCGCTCCGGGGGCCCTTATGGTGGGGCGGGTGTCGGCTAGGGTTTGAGGTTGCGTGCATGTGGGATGCAGGAGATGGGCCTGGGCAAGGTTCAGGTGGGGGGAGGACACTGCATAAGTTGGGGCTTATGGCCGGGCTCAACACACATTTCTAAGGCGTTTTGTTAAGTGAAACTATAAAACAAGAGGCGCCTAACAAACGAAAGCTGAGGGTGACCATATATCTTCGGCTTGCACATGATGGGTCAGTCGTCTAAGTGTGCGTGTAGGGGCGCGGGGGAGAGGCATTGCGTGCGGTATGGCGTGGCGTTGGAGGGCCAGGGTGGCGTTCGCGGCGCGCGATGGGCGCTTTTATCCTGGCGATTAGCAAAGAGGGGGACTGCGGCGAGCGATATTGTGTTTTCCTCTCGTAAGTGCGAGTACAAGTGAAGAAGGCCGCGGCGGTCAAGACGCGTCTTAGAGCTATAGCATGGGATGCAACATGCTCCCGTCGGTTGTCAAAGCTCTGGGGTCGCTTCCTGGGCTCTCGTGATTTGGGTTGGCGGTATGAGGATTTGGCTGCGCGCTTACTCGGAGCTTTGGGGGTTTGGAGCTTTGTGACACGCACAGGAGGGCACGGAAGACCTTTTACCGCGGCCATCACAAGCTGGTGACATCATAGGACTGCGGTTGCGCTCGGATTCGGGTGTCGGAACCTGAAGGCGCGGCGGGTCATTTGCGTGGATACGTATCTATTTTGTAGCTTGTGCATGTTGAAGCGAAGAAACGCCAGTCCCGGCAGGCATGGAAGGCTTACAGGGTGTTTCCACTGAAAAGTCTGTTTGTTAGCCGCGAAAAAGTTATTGGCGCGCTAACAAACCCTAACAAAATGGTGTTTCCACTCGTAGCCCCGAAACCATCTTTTTGCGCGTCATTTAGCGCCAAAACACCCTAATTCGAGGACAATATTGTAGTCAGTAAAGGAGAAATGAGGGTCGATGTTATGCTCTGCGAAGCGGCCTGGGCGGCAGCATGGACATCGGCGTCGAAGCGAAGAGACGGCGCGCCCTGCAGGGGCTGCTGCATCGTTGCCATAAGGGCGTTATGGAGAGCAGAGGGCATATTGCCAGAAGGAATCGGCGAGGGCGACTGGTTCTGCGACATTTTCGGTTCGGTCAACGACGCAGGCCGGCAAGCAGTCAGGGTTGTAGACTGAAAGTGTACAGAAGACCGGGTGCAAGTAGATTTCAAAAAGGAGCTCACAAAATTTTCGCGCTCAAAGTTATCGGACCTTATTGGCTGGTCCGGGGGTCCTATAACTTTTATGGACTTATTGGACCGCTAACAAGGCCCCTGTTTCCACATGGGTCCTACGTTCTTCGCCGTTCCTTCGCCTCCCAACATTCCCTTTTCATTTCTATCATACATTTATATAGAATAAGCGATATTGCAAAAGAAAGTGAGCAAAGGAGAGGTGCCGGGTGAGAATTTTCAAAAACGTCGCTAACAAACTTTTCAGTGGAAACACCCTGTTAGTTCAAGAAGCAGCAGGTGTTTGCTCAGCCCTGCGACTTTTGGATGGACACGGATGTCAAGTTGTCGCATGACCGCCATGTTGAAGTGCATGACAAGTACTGACAATACCGCGCTTTTGGGAGCCAGCCCCGACCGGATGCCGCTGCAATATCACGTCAGTTATTACCTACAGAACCATTTCCAGCGTCATTTTCTGTTGCAACTTTGTAATGTCTGCTAGGCCCGACGAAGAAGACGGATCAGACGAACAAAGAAAAGGGCAGAGCAACCACAATAAAGCGGGCTACGTATCCAACGGGCGAGCGGACGGGTGCGCACTGAACATCGAAAACAAGATAACCTAGATAGCTGAGCACATGCTCAAAACACGGGCCTGTGGACATGAGCCGCTCCAATTGTCCTGAACAGCTACCCACTGAGGCCTTACGTCCGACAAACTCGGCTTTCAAGCTCGCAGTAAGACGGGTTCTTGTGCGGGCGTCATAAACTCATACGTTAGTATGGACGGAAGCAGCCATAAACGATACGCCTAAATATTTAACACGTCCCTTGCTTACGACACTTTTCGATGGAAACCAAGGTGCCGTACAGACTTTCTAAAAGTTCAAGGTTTCCTCTCTGTGATGCAATCTGTTTACAAGAGGACCACGAAATAAGGAGTTTTCCCTACATGTTTTGTGGTTGCTCGGTCCTGGAGCTTGTTTCTCTGTGCTCACTTTACATGGAGATACGCTCATTGCAAGTTGCTTATAACCGCTTGCTCTGAGTGATGAAGTTTCTTCCGACAAAATGTTTAGCACGAGTGTAGACATTGCGCGCACGGAAACGAAGTCATGTTCACGCGAGGCAAGAGGGAACTAGCCCTCGCCTTCACCAGTTTGCTGACCGTCCTTTGGAGCTTGGGTGCACGCGGCCAGCAGCTGGTTATCAACGAAACCAGCTTTTGGTGTGCCGATGTCGCGGCCAAGGCTTTCCTTGCCAGGTGCGCACCAGTACCTGACTGGCCAGCCGGAGACCAGCAGCGCCTAAAACAACTTAATGATTAAGTCACCAGGACGGCGGTTTGCCTGCCCTCCGTTGCGCGCAGTTGCAACGCGGCGAGCGCCGACGACGTTCTTGCACGCGTTGTGGCACGCAAATATGCGGCCTGTATAGAGAACAACGGGACGCAGCTGCCCCGCTCCCTACCGGTAAGGCCGTCTCGCTGGGTCCAACTTGGCGGCGCCACGGTGGCGACGTGAGGGGGCCCCGCGCTGCTCTGGGCTTAGGCCTGGGCCAGGACACGGCCCCTTTGCGTGTGGATTTCAGGAAGCCGGGAAGGCAGGTCGTCCTGGCGGATGCTGAGATCCCCGCATAGCCCCCTTTCCCCTGCCTGACATCTGCTATGGCGGCTTTCCTGTGCGCACTCCGTGCCCCCGCTCGGCCGCTGCCACTGCCTTCGCCTCCCATTGCCTTCCGCCCACCGCCATCGCCCGTCCCCCTCCCGCCCCCTTCTTGGACAGCTCGTCCAAATCATGGTGCCTCTGAACCTCTACACCACATATCACCAGCTCGCCGACAACTTCACGGCCGCAACGGCGCAGCAGCTCGCGGTGGTACCTGTGGACGTTGACCAGCTACAACAGGAGGCACTTTTCGAGTACAGCAACAACCTCTCCCGTACACACCACGCCTGGATCATGTACCTCGATTCGTACTACCCCCTGGAGCAGCTCTCCGCCATTTCGGACCTCACCAACCTCACTGCGGCCAGTACGGCAGCACAGGCTGTTTGGAAGGACCTGCCGGCCGGCTTTCAGCACCTTTCTCTGTCCTATGGCGACGTACCGCCGGGCCCCGATCAGGCGCCCAAGATGCTGAGCCTCCCGCTGGACGCTTCCACGCCGCTCATGTACTACCTACCCCACGTGTTGGCGCGCAACAACTTGTCCGTACCGCGGACCTGGTCTGAGGTGTTGTACGTGGCCAGGAAGATCAATGGGACCGATATAAACGATGACGGGCTTCCTGAGTATGCAGTGTGCTTCAAGCCTGATCCAGGTGGGGTACGACGACCCTGGGGTACGACGAAATGAGGCAGATACCAGACGGATAGAGGGATAAAGCGGTGGAGGGGGTAGCGAGGGGGTGGGGGGGGTGGGGAGGGAGGGAGGGAAAAGGGGGGATGCCTTGCTTTTGAAAATGTCCAGTGCAGTCCGGTTGTTGGTGCTGATACTGAGACGGGCTCTGCGCCGGGGCACTGATGGTGGGTCCTACTTGCGATCGATGTTTCAGTTTGGGATCACGTGCTGCGAACCTTTTTGGTCGCACCTTCCCGCCAACCGGTCTCATGCTGTGCTACGTACACAGACAGCGGCTGGTGCTTTGGGCGTTGGCAGTTGGGTTTTGAATGTGTCGCATGTGTGTGTGTGTGTGTGTGTGTGTTACACCTGCAGTTGCGTTGACTTTCCAAGGTGTGACTAAGGGCCCTTTCGAGTCCTGAGGGGCCCAGGGGTTCAAATGCTGCACATGGTCCCTCTCCTTCCTCCTGGCCCTCAACATACACGCAACACATACATACATACATACATACATACATACATACATACATACATACATACATTTGACGCCCGTCCGCTTTCTCCCCTACTCTCCCGTCCCTCCAACCCGCCCCCGTGGCACACAAAAGACTGCTCCTACGCATCGGCATTGGGCATGGTGCTGGCGCCGTACCTGCAGTACAAGGGTACGGCACAGGGTGCCTTCCTTCATCCCAGCGACCTGACTCCTCTCTTCGGGTCCCCGGGGGCGCTCGCCGCCCTGGAGGTGTTTTCCAAGCTGATGCTGCACCACTCGTCACTGATGCTCCAGGGGGAGGACTGCCTGGATAGCGCCTCCGCACGCGCCTTCTTGGAGGGGGAATGCGCGCTAGCGTTTGGCTGGGGGGATCTGTTCAAGGTGGGTGGAGGGCTGGGTTCGGGCCATAGGGGGTCATGGGGGGTTCGGGGTTAGGCAGGAGGTGAAGAATGAAGGGGCTGGGGCAGACAGGCAGGAGAGTGTGGAAAGGGATGGGTATTGGCAATGTGGGGTAGGAGGGGGGTAGGGAGGGCCTGAGGCGAGGTTGCGTGGGGTAAAGGAGGGAGGGAGACATGGGACTTAGCTGATGGCTTTGGTTTGGTTTCGGAAATGTTTTCCGGTGGGGTGAGTACAAGATGGACCTGCGCTTTGATGTGGTGGCCATTTATGTTGATGTACACACTTACGGCACGTCTCCCTCAACCACCCATGTGCGTGTACGTCCAAACCCCACAAGCCCAGAGTTCCGAGCTGTTCCTCGACTCCAACTCGGTCAAAAGCCGTTACGCGATCTCGGTCTTGCCGGGGAGCGAGGTGGTGTACGACAGGGATGCAATGGTCCGCAAGGATTGTACGGCAAAGCTGTGCCCGTACGGCCTGAACGACCAGCCGGAGCAAATCGTGCACCAGGAGGTGGGGCTGGAGGTGCTGTGTTGGTGGTGGCTGCAGGGCGGGGCGGAAGCTGGGGAAGGGAGTCGGGAGCCTGGTGCGAGCTCCTCCCAAGATACGAAATAGCTGCCCTGTGTCTGCCTGTGTGTCTGTATGTCTGTATGTGTGTTTGGCGTGTGAAAAGGGAGGGGTGGGAGGGGAGGCGCCTGCTGCTTCTGGTGGCGCTGCTGCTGTTGGTGTGCGGCTGTTGTTACGCCTGGCTCCGGGTCCTGTAGGGCCACCAGCGCCACCAGACCGCACCCATGGGTTCTGCATTTGAGACCCGGGCTCGGGTGTTTAGCTTTGGTGATGAGAAGTGGGAGGAGGGTTGGAGCGCACTCGCCCGGGTGGGGGTCGCGACTGGGAGGCTTTGAACCGCTTGGAGCTGAAAGGATGGATGGATGGATGGATGTGGATTGCACTCCTCTCCGCAGTGAGACTCCAGGGGGCGCCCCTTCCCCCGGGTCGCTGTTCCTACTGTGCCCCTCCCTCTTCTTCTTCAGACGTGTATGTTTGTGGTGTACCTGCCCTTGGTGCCCCGCGTGTATACATGCTTTTTACGTCGTGTGCAGGACAATTCAATCGTGTACGTCAACCGCGCGCCGTACCTGCCGTACACCGGTTTGGTAGGAGTCGTGAGCGCGGATATCGACCCCGCGCAGCAGCAGACGGCGTTTGACTTTCTGGTGTTCCTCGCGGAGCACAACCGGGAGTTGGCTTTGTCACGGAGTAGTGAGTGATGTTGGGGTAGGGGGAGGGGGAGGGAGGGCGGATGGCATTATGGGCTCGTGCACGGGGGAAGAAAAATAGTGCCTTGGCGGTTGGTGGGGGCGAGGGGGGATCAGACCAGCGGCGGAAAAAACGCAGCTAGCTACGGACTTAGCAAGGCAAAGCAATGGAAAGCAGGGGAGAAGAGGGCGGTGAGTCGGGGAAAGTTATGTGTATGTATGTATGTATGTATGTATGTATGTATGTATATGTATGTATATATATCGTATGTCTTTATATATCAGTGTGTATGTATATAAATGTATAATATGTATGCATATCAGACAATCAGGCAACGCATTTACAGCCCCGGCCCCGGCCTCGTTTCGAGTCCAAACACTTGCTCTCCTCCCACGTCTCTCGCCGCGTCCTCCCAGCCTCTCACCCACACCAGTGAAATGAGACCCCCGACCCGGTGCACCCTCCCCGTCTTCCGCCAGGTTTTGTGCTGCCGTACCGAACTTCTCTTTTGAACAGCTCCGACACGAGCTTGCTGGATGCATTTGTCGCAGCTGGGTTCGACTCCAACGCCACCCTGGCCTACATGAATGCCACTCTGGCCACCCTGTACCACAGCAACCTGGTGCCCGGGCCCATCATCCCCAGGGCGGAGGCGCTGAGGTGAGGGGGGGGATAGGGGGTATTGGAAGGGGAGCCGCGCCGCCCCGGTCAGCTCCTAGCTGCCATGACTCCTCGCACTGCGCTGCTGGCGTACCCACCTTCTTCTAGTTGCCTACACTTACCGGAATGTAAAGCCCGTCCCGGGAGCCCCTTGGGCTTTGACGGACACCCCCGTATTTGTGCGGAACTTGTGAGTTATTAACTTGTAGCTTTGTAACTAAAAAACGCAATAACTTGGTAACCCACCCGCTGCTGGTCCGCCCCAATGCCAATACCTAGCTGCTAACCTGACACCCTAATTCTTCCATCCCACACCTCAACACACAACCTACACGGGCTTCAGGGCGCTTTTTGGACTGGCCGCTGCAAACTTGTCATATGCCCAACCCAACCCGGAGCTGGTTTCGGAGCAGCTCCAGACTGCCGTACAGGAGCAGGTATGTATGCGTGTGCGTGCGTGCGTGTATCTTTCTATTTATCTTGCAGGGGAAGGGATGAGGAGGACCACGCACCACCATGTGTGTGTCTGTCTGTATGTATGTATGTATGCACGGCCCCTGTGGATGTGTTTATCTGTGGTCTATGTAATCCCGTGTCTCAGGTTGTTGACTACGACTCCTCCACTGGCTGGCGGATGCAGCTGAGGTCCGCCTACTGGAACTTCATTGACTACCTACCTGAGGTGCCGGTGAGGGCAGGGGAGGGGGGAGGGGAGGGGAGGGGCAGGGCAGGGGAGGGGG